TTTTTTGATATAAATCAAAAAGTTTAGCTAAAGCTGTTTTTTGATATAAATCTAACTTCAATTCTAAATGCACTTGATACATAATAAGTGCTTGATAGATATTTAATAAATAAATTTATTTTTGTACTGTTGAAATAATTAGCTATTTAAGATATTAGGAGCAGGGCCGGCCCGGCGGCGTACTGCTACAGTGCTCCGCTTGTGAGTGCGGCGGCGCTCCCGCCGAGGGTTTGGATCCCACATACAGACCGGTTCCTGCTCACTGGCTGAGTGAGGGGCGGTTGCAGTGCCAAGGGTTGCGATCCCGTTGCCGGTCCCCGGTCCAGTACGGGCGCGACACTGAGGGTTGCGATCCATTGCCGGACACAAAAAAAGACAAAAAGGAAAAAAAAAAAAGATATTAGGAGCAATTGAGACACACACACATACATTCTCATACACAATCTGTTAATTCAATATAGTGTGATATAATAAAAATCAGACCGATCCTGAAGTTAAGATACTAGTGTTTTGTCCTAGGTTCTACTGTTATCTAAGACACTGCTAAAACCAAAAGTTCTCTGAAAACCAACCTTCTTTTGTTTAGAATGAAATCCAACATGTTGGAGACACAGATGGCATCCAAATTCACAGGAATACATGACAGAACCAACTCTTTAAAGTTAACTAATATTGTTCTTTCCAGCATGTTATAATCTGCTTAATGTACTTCCAAACAAAATTTAAAATCATACTTCATTTTATAAATGAACCCTAATTAATTCTGATAGCAGAGCTTTAAAAACATGTAGTATCATCTATTGAAAATATATAAATACAACTTGGATATTTTATATATAGATTTAATATATTTGTTCTGTCACAATGGGTGAAAAATTATTATTTTATAGGAGGCATAAGAAATTTGATACAATACTATGTATAGATAATTTAATGCCAGAATTTATATCCTGTGCAAGTATTGAAAGCAACCACAAAAAAATTTACCGTGACCTCTTGAGAGTGATAATGGGACAATTGGTGTCAACTGTGATTATGATTGCCTTAGCACGTTTGGCTCATTCGAAGAACTTTGGTTGACCAAAAGTTAGGGCAACTAAGATGAAAAGAAACTACTAAGAAGACCCTCATATTTTTGAGCCCAAGTTTTGGGTTGGGATCTGAATAAGTAAAATGTGTATATAAAACCTAAAGTTCCTCAGAAAACAGAAGCAACCAAGAAAACAGGAGGGATCACCTTTGCTTAAGGTTCAACTAGTCTGTTGGGACAACTGAATCAAAATATAAAGGCCAAATTTAATACTTGGGCATCAGAAATATAGTAAGCATTTTACAGTGAAGATTGGATCCAAGGAATCGTGAAGGTATCTATTGGTCCAGAACTCTGAAAGTACAGATTTTGGGCTCTGGGATAGTCCTAGGAGATACAGCTTAAAATGGAGAGTCAGAGGGCAGAGCTGAATGGATGGAAAATGGCAGGCAACAGTAAGAGGTTTTGACAAACAGCAAATGCCCCTGATGTAACAAAAATGCAGACATATAGATTAGAAGTGTAGAACATGGTTCAGAGGTATAATAGAGTTTGAGAGGCTGGAAATATAAGTGGCCCAGGGTAAGAGATCTTGAGGCTTATTCACTGGAACATTGGGACTGATTTAGCCTGGACCAGGGCTAAGCCTCCAGGATAGGCTAAATCATTCCCCGTTGCTTGGAGGACTGCAATCAAAGGAAATAAGTGGGCCATTTCAACGAAAGGATTAAATAGTTGCTTGAACTCAGGTAAAGGCAGCTCTTCTGAACAGAAATATCCAGAAGCAGCAGTACATCTCCTCATTGGTTTTAGTAGCAATTTCTTCTTGCACAATTATTTTATACACGAAAGGCAATTTTAAATTAATATTGTTAAAATATTTTTAGATAATAATACCAAAAACTTGATACACTGATGATGTGAATTTATTTGCTTACCTTTTAGTTTCAGGCTGTGTTTCTTCTAGACAAACAAATAGACCACAAACAATTGAGAGTTTGTATTTTGTGGGAGGAAGGAACAAGGAGGAGGGAAAAGACTAAAGAGAACTGGGTACTGCCTTGAGTAATGCCCTTGGGAATTCATTCTCATGTATTGACTTGTCGGACCATGACCTTCTCAGAATGCACTTACATGAGGAACAGTCCCTTCCTTGTCTTACAAAAGAATTCATAGGAATGAACTCTACAAGGGAAATAACACCTATCTTTTTTATCTTCTTGCCTCAATGAATCTATTAATTATTCATTTATGTTAAAAAGTCACTGAAGTATTATAGTAGAACACATAAATCTTAAGTGTACAGCTTGATAATTTTGTAAACATGTATATAACCGTATAACCACTCACTAAATCAATATATTGAATACTATTTCCAACACTCTAGAAGGTCCCATGTACCCCCTTCCAGTCTGCAGCCCCCAAGTGTAAAAGCTATTCTGAACTTCATAACAATGGGTTTGTTTTATTAGTTTTTAAACTTTGTGTAAGTGGAATATATATTTTTGGTGTCTAACCTCTTTCACTCAATATTATGTATATGAGATTCACCCATGTTGCATGCAAAGAAGTTTGTTTTTATTAGTAGCTGTGCAGTATTTCACCATATGCATATGGTATAATTTATTTACCCATTCTATTATTTGTAAACATTTTGATTGTTTTTGGTTTAGACCTTTATGAGTAAAACTTCTATGAACATGTTCCTCACATATCTTTTTGTAAACAATATTGTTATTCACACACACACACATACATATGTATACACACATGTATATGCATATGCCTCAGAATGGGATTATTGGGTCATATTATACATATGTTTTCCTTTAATAGATATTGTCAAATATTTTTTAAAGGAGTTTTAACAGTTCTTATTTTCACCAGCTTCATATCTTTGTCCATTATTGATATTCTCAGTCTTTTTTTCCCTTTTAT